TGGTGTTACTATGTTTTATGCATACTATAGATGTGGAAAATTGATTTAAAATCTATTTGGCATTTGTTAAAAATAGACTTTTTAGAATGTTTAACTGTTTAATGTTTTAATGTTTAACTTTTAAATGTTTTGATGTTTTGGTGTGAGGTGCTTTTCAAGCATCTTTAAGCTTATCTCTCTCTAAATGACCAATTCAGAAATACAGTTACTAGTCATATGACATTTTTTCTCACCGAGGGACTCCTACAGCTCTATTATTGCAGCATTTGAAAGCACATGTGTGTCATCTCAATCCTGTGTCAGAGCCAGGGGCATTGTTAATTGTCTCTTGAGATGCTATTTAGGACACAGCACTGGTGTATTAGTGCCTCATGCCATCTTGAAAACATTGCAGGTGCTATTATGCCTCATAAAGCACAGCTGCACAGAATTATCATGTTAATTTGAAGTCATCTTGTGCATTTACAGGAGAACCTATTTAAAGACATGCTTGGGTTTAATATGTAATTATGTTGTTCAGCACACTGTGTGTCAGTGGTCTGATACGTCTCATCTTTCTCATGCCTACAAGGAAAAAATTAAGTAAGGAAGGCATAAAAAATTAAATTTTAGAGAGGAAGTGTCTGAATAAGAAATAACTTCTTTTGCAAACTTCTAGTGAAATCTCTAGAATAGAATTGGAGGGAAACACGGTAGCGTTAATCTCTTGTCTTCCTCTACTTCAAAGAAACAACAACAAAATAGAAAAACCTGAGCAGAAACAACAGATGTCCTCTTGCAGAACAGCATGAATTATTCAGTGATGCAGTTTTGATCAATGTTATCCCTGCAGAACTGGTGCCTAAACATCTCTTGCATGTTTTATCTGTTCTGTTAGACCCTTTCATCTTCCAGTGTCTTTGATGAAAACAAAATTTGCTGAAAGGTATAGGGTAAATGTGAGAAAAAAATACATATTTTTTCCAGTTACAGGTACATTAGGCAAAGATATTTTGTGTATAGCAAATAATAATACTCTGTGTTGGAAAGTTGGAGATGAACAGAACTGAACCATTCTGTGTTCTGCAATATACTGGGATTATTAAACACATTTTCTTAGAAATGTGATCCACCTGACTGATTTAACAGCCTTGTGAACCAGGCAGGTTTTCAGTCTGGTGAGCTGAGATGGATATTAGATGTATATATGATGGCAGAACTGGCCCCTTGCTTCTTGAAATGATGTGAATGGTATTTTTGTCCTCAAAAAATAGGAAATAAATCAATATTTATTATTCACATTTCCACTTATTTAGGGAAAAAATTTAAAGGTGTTTTTTACTGCTGAAATGGCATAAAACAATCTTGAAGCTTCCTTTAAGAAAAGGCGAGAATTCTCTGGACATGAGAAAATCTTCAGGGATTAAGAGTCTGCCATAAAAAAATGAGGATATAAGGGAGACTAGAGAGAGTGTGACCCTTCCTGTAACCTTTACCAGCCAAAGGAAATGTTATGAAAGTTCTTATATTTGTCTTTAGTGTCTACTCATTGTTCCATTTGGGGAAAGTAAAGAGGATTTAGCTGTGATTGCCTTTCCTCTGCAGCTCTGATAAGCCATGCTCAAAGATTGTGAGGAAGTAATTTCTGTATTACACTCAAATTTGACTTTTTTTTTGGAAAGTCATTATATTATGATGCTTCAGGAGTGTGGCTAGTCTTGAATCATTATATGTAGTAACAACAAAAGCTCTTAAAAAGTTCTACTTAGAGAAATAATTGCCTCCTAAGAACTTAAGCAGTTGTAATGAAAAAGAAACAAGCACGCCTCTGTCAAATGTAGACAAATCACTATCCAGGCTCTCTTCTTGAAAAGTCCCATCTACTCAGTTTTTTTGTAAGAGAAGAAATTATCTCAAATTTAAATGTAGCGGTTTTTAGAACTTCACAAACGGAGGACAACATATACTCCCATTGCCCTCTTGTGCATTATAATGTCTCTAGGGTTCTTGCTGGGTAGACTAAAATGGGCAACGTTGTATAGGGAAATGTGTATCAGAAGGACTCTTCTTCCCTGTAAGCAAATGGAGAGATCTGGGGAAGGTTGGTTTGATATTTGTGTGTCATCTTTTATTTAAGAGATCCTTGATTTGGTTCTGAAGTGCTTGAAGGTAAAGTGAAATGTTCTATCAGTCCATGCTACCTCTACGACCTTCACACAAGACGTTAAATGCGGTTCAGGCGAGGGATCTTCCTGCTCATGTATAAGTACCAATTCCTGCACTTTTACATCAGCCCCCCTTCAGTGGTAGCTGACTGATCTAATGAAGGATTGTCTTATCGGTAAGAGCTCAGCATGAGAATTTGTCTCACTATGTGGTGCTCTCCTGTCATAAAAATTGTTCTTAGAAAACTTAGAATACTTTCAGATTACACCAGGTAAAATGAGGCAGTACATGGGAGTAGTCATTTTAATGACAGAAATTGTTGTAGGTAGTTCTGTTAGAGCAAGTAAGTGGAGGAATATTGTAATTCTGCAGGCAGATGTTGCTTGTAGAACCTGTGGCTTCTGTACTGGCTGTGAGTGAATAAAGCTGATCGGTTTAGTTTAACTAACATATGCTTTTACATAAGGTGATCCAGGTTTTAGTCTTACGCTGTTGACTGTGTCATTGCAAGAGGTCTGTTACACGAAAATGAGTATTACTGAAGAGAGATGAGATGATAAAAGCTGCCTGCTTTCTCTTGAGTAAAGGAGTAATTCACCAAGAAGTAAACCAGAAGGCGGTTGGAAATATAATCAAAATTAAATTACTATTGAATATGTTGCTGCCAAACACATGGCTTTTCTCAGCTTTTAGGCATATGTGGGACTTTGTCACAATTTGGCAGGGAGGAATATAAGCTAGTAGTTTTTGCCAGGGGTAAAATTTATAATACTGCTGTCTGAGCGTGTTGTGTTCACAGGAAGGCTGAGCTTGAGGGGAGCCTGGGTTTGACTGAAAGCACAGAGCTTTTGTGTACTTGTAGAGCAGTGCACTCAGCTTCAGCGTTAGAAGATGGGCTCTATGGAGATACGTAACACTGGGGAATCGAGACTTGACTACTATGTCTCTTATGTTCACTGCTATAGTGTAGGTCTATTCAGCTATTTTTCTGCATGCTTATTTTCTTATGTTAGTAGTTCTTGCATTGTATTCTGTTCATACTAACCTCAGTTTATTTTTATGTTAAAGTGCCAGCGTAGCTTTGGGGTTTTTTGTTCTTTCTGGTTTTCTTTGCTATTAAATAAGCAGGTAGTGAGCATGAAATGCAAGTGAATATTCTTGCTAATGATTGAATTACCAAAATATAATAGTAATCCTCTGCTAAATAAATACTGCCTTTGTCTCTGCTAAATAAATAGCAGCCTTTGGTCTTCTACTTCAAAATCTGTACCTTAAAGTGTTAATTTTACTTCCCTTTAGCACCTTACAAAATGATGACATTAGCAACCTTGCTAAGGTTTTGACTATGCAATTAGCATAAGAAGTGGGAGAAAGCACAATGTATTAATGAAATGTATATTGTATATTAACTCACTAGGAAATTATTTTTAGAGCCTTGTTCAATTATAGCATAACTCTCAAAGTTCATCCCTGAGGAAGAAAGTACAATTGCCAAATACACGTAGCTAATATGATTAGTCAAGCGCCGTTTTCAGGAAGTCAAATACTGATATGAGTGAAACCTGAAAAGGAGCCTATAATAAATCTACACTGTTAGATACAAAGCTTTTTGGTTCATCCCTTTCCAGTTCTGATTGCCCACACTGCATAAATGCCATTTTGCTCCGCAGCAAACCAACTATTTCCGTTTTGAGCTGAAACCTGACTGCGATGCTGTGGTGTTCTCCAGGCAACGTGTGATAGGCAGCATGAATGGGACCAAGCCACGTTTGGTGCCCTGCAAGGTCCTTCAGCTCCTTCTGGAGCTGTGAGACATGCAATATTCTCTACATACCTTCATGCCACCCCAGGGCGAGTAACATGCAATGTCATGCCATAGAAGTGCAGCTCTGATGGGCTGGAACAGCCCTCGTCTGCATCAAAAAATGCAGAAAAATAATAAATCAGACTTTTAGATCATAATCAAGAATGGAGCCAAGGGCTGTGCGTGATTATTAGTAGTGTGAGTGTAGTGTTAGTAAAGGGCTAAACAAACAAATCTTTGATTTCTTCTGAACCTGAGGAGATAAAAGAAAGAGTTGGGAAGAACAAGATTGTGTTTTTTGCTTCGGACCATGACAGCCGGAGTTAAAACAGGAAAAATATCTCCTTTTTGAAGTAGGTAAGGCCTACACAAAAGCACTGAATTCTTGGCCCCGAGTATGATGTCTGTTTCCTCTCTCATGTGCAGGTCTGTCCTTGGCAGCTTCAGCATTATCCCTTTTCCTAAAGGTTGCTTGTGGTAGCAGGCTTGAGAGGAATATGAACTGATATACGCTGAGGTCCATGTTACTGTAGCTAGATGGTTTTCTGTCCTAAAGTTTCAAATCAAATATCTGCATATCACAGTGCAGTGCAGATGAGCTGGAATTATTTCACTGCTTTCTTTTACATCTGAGCTCTGCTAAAACTGCTGTTGCAATAGCAAAGATCGCCTTGTGTTTCCTTTGTGGACACAGGCTGCAAACATGTTTTTAACATTAAATATACATCTCATTGAAATGCATTTTATTATAGTTCTTGCTGATTACTTATACTTTTATTATAAGATGAATTTTATTTCCATAGGGTTCCATAAACATCAGTGGTCAGGATCTACACTGTGATGATAATTCATGATCACCTCAGCAGGGTTGTACTGCAATATAAGCCTTTTGTTAATAACAGTAGAAAGACTTGTAGTAGGATGCATCCTCTATGGATGTCAGGATACAAAAACTTGTTAACTGTCCTTTAAAAGAAATTTACACGCCTGTAATTAAAGAACGAAAAAGAATTTGCATTCCTAATGTGTTATGATATTGTCATTGATTTAGGCAGGACTAAGGACACTTCATGATATTGGCCCTGAAATACGCCGAGCTATATCCTGTGACTTGCAAGATGATGAACCAGAGGAAAACAATCCAGAGGAGGAGGAAGATGTTTATAAAGTAATGTCAGAACACAGCTACATGAATTGTTTTATCATACAATATGAGATTAAAGAATGAGCTTATCCCTGAATATGGAGTAAAAATAACAGTAATAATAATAATAATAAAACTCCCTCAAACCAGAACAACATAAATATTTTATAAATAAGTATATTTTTAATATCTCTCTCTCTATAAAAATGGTATTAGCAGGACACTTGCATCTCATAATAAATTTAGGAAGCAGTTCCTGCAGGGTGATTCTCCTGCCCCTAATTCTTTCTCATTAATTCTTTTTTTCTTAAGCAAATCCTAAGAAAAGGTATGAACCTTGCCATCTCAGATTTTGATAGTGGCAAGGGTAGACTGGAAGTGTCTTAACTTCTGCAGTGGTAGATAGGAAGAAGAGAATGAAATTCTATGCGGCCAAACCACAACAGACACAAAGCTGCGTATTTTAAAGTGAATGCCTGGATTACTTACACAGAAGTCAAATAAATATAAATGCCATTTCCGATTTCCTGTGAGGGATGTCAGTAAGAACCAATCAGAAAAAAAGATTAGTTTTCCTCTTTTACGCTATAGATATCCAGTCTAATGGTGAACACATAAAGTTGGTATTATAACCAGGAGCGATCTGCAAACCATTTGTCAGTCAGCAAGAAAACTTAATTTTTCACAAGCATTTCAGAAGAAGCAGATGTAAAAGCATGCTTCTGCAGTAATTATGTCAAAAATAGCTTGCTCTTGTCCTTTGCAAAAAAGGAGGATGTGGCACTGGAGACATGCATCAGTAGATGCATTTCTCTGCCAACCATCATTACCTCCTGTCTTTCCTAGATTGAGCTTCAAGACAGACTGCTGTCATCCAAGACCCACACCTGGCTAGACAGGGAGGCTACCTAATCTGGGTCAGATGTAAAAGAGAGCTGCATGTCATAGTCATAACTTAGCACTTCATTCTCTCTTTCACCATCCATTACACTCTTCAGGGCTAATAAAGAGTTACTACTCTTTCTTGTACCTCTGCAAGAAGAAGGAATGGAAGCACTGAAGCTTAATGTTACCTACTTGAGATATGCTTGCAAGCTGTTGCATGGCACTCCATCCTGTCTGAGTGACGCCTGTTGCAAACCGATGCTCTGGGAGAACAGGAGAGAATAAGTGTTCTCAAAAATTAAGCAGACACGTCCCTTTCTGAGGAAGTTGGTGCATGTTCGTGTATGGAAATCTAGGTTTCTCCTGCGTAATAAAATGTGGAGAAATCTGTATGTCACATTTAGTTGTATGGAAAAAGAATAATGATCACAGCATAATGTGGATTTAACTCTGAAATACAAATATTGTCATTATCACAATCACATCTCTATCGCTTCAGGAGATCCCACCTGAAGCATCATAAAATTAGGAAGAAAAAGCACAGCTTATTTGAATTGCTACTTTTGTATGCATGTAGGAGAGAAAATTAAGTTATCACTGTCTAAAATCTGTTCTGTTAAGGTATCTGATGTAATTTTTTCTTTCTCTTCCCCTAAAACAGAGGAATGGTGCCCTCTTTGGCAACCATATAAACTATATTAGCAGTGACAGACGAGATTCATTTCAACAGATCAACACCACACACCGTCCCTTACATGTTCAGCGGCCTTCAATTCCATCTGCAAGTGATACTGAGAAAAATATCTATCCTCAGGCAGGAAATTCTGTATACCACAATCATCATAATCACAACTCAGTAGGAAAGCAAGTTCCAAACTCAACAAATGCCAATCTCAATAATGCCAACGTGTCCAAAGTTGTTCATGGAAAACACACAACTTTTGGAAATCGTGAGCGCAGAGCTGAAAACGGTTACCATTCATACTCCAGAACTGATCATGAGAAGCGTAGAAGGCCAAGCAGTAGGAGGTAAACTTACAAATATGTATTTGCTTTTAAATAAGTTTATATATTACAAGTACACTGTAAGAAAACTTATGCTACGTGAAACTAATTTGTATATTTAGCTTCATTTCTGTTGCCTACTGATGTATGAAACGTATTTAAAATATAGCTCTGATGTATGGGAAATGTATATAACTAATAAAGTTTGAAAGTAGTAGTTTTCTGTGAAGTGAAATTATTAGTTACAGCACAGACATTGTAATCACCAATGAATTTCTCTAAACTACCTGATTTTAAAATAGCTTTCTCCTTATTTTCATGGCTTACCTGGATAGAACCCGCTACTATGAAACATATATTAGGTGAGTTGATATTGTTCTGACATAATTGAAGAGGACGAAGTAGTTTTTCTTGTTCTTTTTTCCTTCTTTTTCTTTTTTTTTCTTTTTCTTTTTCTTTGTCTTTTTCTTTTTCTTCAGTACAATTTTCAAATTAACTGTATGACAATGCATGTGCTGAATAACTTAAGTGACGATTTCCAAGTCAAATTTTCCACTGCCTGTTCTAAAAGGATAAACTTCTGGTGAAATTCAAAATTAATTCAAGCCCTTTTAAGAGTCCTGGCAGGTTTGTGCAGTTTTCAGCAGGCAAAAGATCACACCTGATGGTAGCCCTTGTTTAAAATTGACTTGTGAAGACTGGAAAAAACACTGGGTTTAGCTTTGATAAATATTAACGTGTACAGTTCCATTTCTAGGGGTTCCAAAATCTTTCCTGGTCTTATGTCTGAATATTTTCTAAGACAGCTTTTAAAAATAGGATATATTGTGTTATTTGAAGTGCATTGCTAAAGGTACATTAAGTGCTAGTTTTTAATGTCTAGATTTGCACATCCATTTCAGATTTTTCTTGGAATACCTCAGTGAGTGGTATTACCTCCTTAATATTTTAGCCATTTGGCAAACTTCAGACATTTGAGAGAGGCTGTGTTTCTTCAAAGTATTCTGAATTTATATTTTGTAAAAATGTCTTGAATGTATTTGACTTCATGGAGTATCCCCATATTAATTATTTTCTTATTTGTACCATAAGGAAATAAAGGGAGGTCACCTTTAAGAAACAGATAAAATAGTCATGTTCTGAATTGCAGTCCTGTGCAATTTACTATAACATCACATTCTGACGAGAGTGTTATTAATGCTTGTCTCCCGCCCCGCCCCCCCCAGAAGCACATTGAAAGAACTGTGCATAAAATATACAATATATAATTTATATAACTAAAGTATAAAAAAATATAAATATTTGTTTGCTACTTGCAGATCTGACTCTGGTGATGGGCGTCGACCTACTATTCGCCGCGAAGAACATGAAGTTCAAGACTATTGCAATGACGATCATTATTTGAGAGAGCAGGAATATTTTAGTGGAGAAGAATATTATGAGGAAGACAGTATGTTGTCAGGAAGCAGGTGAGGATATTTGTTACACTGGGAAAAATATTTCAATAAATTAGGTACATATCTGTAAAGACGTCACTAAGCACACTTATACTGAAAATTCTCTGATGAAGTTAATACTCCACAACTGCTGGCAAGTAAAATGGTGAATGGGAATAGTGTGTGTACCAAGGATCTTCTGTATTTGGCGTCATGTGCCGAGTCCAGCAAAACTTCTGTACCAAATTCAAAGGAAAGCACAAATTTCCTTTGAACTGAGTATAAACTAGATAGTGCATAACCAAAGAATCATTTCATTTATAAATAAAATTTCACGTACAATGGAAGAAGGATCAAGCTCAGAGAGAGGAGCTTTTAGAAAGGGTTTTCTTCTTTTAATTTAACTTAAAAGAAAGGTGAAACTGGTAACTATGGACTGAGATCATAAGGTAGTACTAGCTGGACCAATAAAGAATTGGACGACTTCCTTTTGCAAATTCTCATTATACCTCTTTATTAATAATCCTCCTCTTGGCACCATGTTTTGTCTCCTTAGTGCAAACACTTAACACTGTCATAGTTGTCCTGGCCTTTATATGTTTGGAGTAGATGTTTTTTAAGTTTTATTCACAAGCTTTATGGAAATGCCATCAATTGAATTTCAGTCAACAACTAGCGTTTCTTACAAATTTGTAATACTGCATAATGTCTAAATTTGTATTAATCTGAGGCTCCTTACTGTAACTGCGGAATTCTAGTTTTGTGACCTGTTTCCTCTCAGTTTTCTAACTCATTTCTGTTTTCTTTGGCCAAAACTTAGGAATAGTATCCTAGTTAATTATAGTATTTCTGTCCAGTAGGGTTTTTCCAAGGCCCAGTAGTGTTTTTTAACAACTCTTGCCTGATCCTGTGTGTTTAACCCCCGTGATCTTTGCATTCAATATCTTAATTTCAGATTTAAGAAGAAAAGGCCTTGATTTAATTTTGGTAAATTTCAGCTTTTCTCTGAAACTTTATTTCACGCAGTTTCTTCAGAAATGGACTGGGATGGGTTTTTCTAACTTTAGAAGAGTGGCTCCCAAGTTAGTTCAGCTTTGAGCGTTACCAAATTAGTTTGATTTGAGCACTGTGCCGTTGGCTTCAGGCAGCGACAGCTTCAGCAACAGGGCAGATCCTAACTTTGCCTTGGGACCACTCCTGTACGTAAATGATAGGTTTCCAGTTGTTCAGGCAATGGTTGGGTGCTACTTTGGGAGGAAGTCCTGCCTGATATTCCTGATTTAGTCTTTAAAATGTGAGATTGTTCTGGTGTTTTCTGAGTATCAACCTGCCATGGAACACAACCTATATTTGGTAATACTGAAAGGCTTCCTATTTAAAAAAAAAAATTAAATGCACCTTTTTCCCAAATATCTTGTGATTTTTTTAATTCCATAATATTCACCTTCTCATTATGATGTAGAAAGACATATGCATTTACAAGATCTTGAGTAGATTGTGTTCATCTTCCTTACAATAGCTATGTTTCCCTTCTGCTGAATAAATTCAATAACTTCTCAAAAATACCCTCCACTTCTGTCAATAGATTTTTAGTTTGAAGTCCAGCCCAGAAGTAGAGGACTTTATTGCCATTTTATCTTGGATCCATAAGTGCATATGCACAAGTGCCAGACATGCTGAATTCTCTTCCTCCTCCTCCTCCTCCTCTACTGCCTTTCTTTGCCATCTGAATTCTGGCAAGATTGGCACCCTAATTTGCATCTTGTTGGTTTGCATAAAATCTAAGATTTGCATGAAAGCGAAATTCTACGGAATTCTCAGGTCACTAATTTTTTGGTATGATAATTACAGTCAAATTATAGCCTTACAAGATTTGATTTTCGACAAGAGAAGTATCCGGAATGTAAAAGGCTTAATTCCATTCTCTGAGTTTCCATGCTCAGAGGCTTCCCAGGGTTCACAAGAGAGCGTGGTGGGAGTAGAACAGAGTATTTTTATTTATTTGTTTTTAAGCAGTGTACAACTGAGGTCCTACATTTTAGCCTGTACTGGTAAGAATAACTTCATTGAAAATATAATTTGATAAAAATTTCACCTGAGAACTTACTATATAACTATACTAGTACAAAAGTGTATGCTTGCTATCTCAAAATCAGTTTGCATGCAGAAACTGGATTTTAAAATTGAGTTGTGTAATTATATAATGTAACGTTTGGATATCTTGCTGGAGAAAGAGTAGATTTGAAAATCTTCTAGAAGAAATCCAATAGATCAATTTACAGAAACTGACTGAAATAACGTTTTCTCTATTGTATTTTAAACACAGGCATATATATGATTACCACTGTAGATATCACTGCCATGACTCAGATTTTGAGAGACCAAAAGGCTACCATCACCCACATGGTTTTTTTGAGGAAGATGAGTCACAGACCTGTTTCGATACAAAAAGATCTCCCAGGAGACGGCTGCTACCTCCAACACCAACACGTAAGTACATTAAGAACAATTTGTTTGCAAATCCAGAATTATTTAAATGCATTCAGACATGTTCCAGTTTAAAAAGGCTTCTTTTTAACTTGGATTTCAAACATGACGTTTCTCGATTACTGTTGCTAGTGGATTATTGTGTATGGCAGAAATATCTATCCATCCTGAGAGACTGCTCGGAGAATCTGTGGATCCTAGCTTACAAGTCAGTCTTTCTAGTATGTCTTGCCTCACTCATCCAATAACATAAAATTAACCAATTTAATTGCCAGTTTTAACTTGATTTGATAAATTAAGAAAGAGCAAGGTAAAGCACAGCAGTAGTTTGCTTTGAAACTTTGGTCAGAGCATTTCAGTCCATGTGCCCTCCATTCACACCTAGGGATGTGCAACGTTGCCCTGAGTCAGTGCCATTGTCTCTCTGGTGCCTGCTGGCACTTTCCGTGCTGCTTAATGATGTTGTGATCAGTGCCATTTACAGCTTTACCTCGTACTGTTTAGTAAACACTACTGTCTGAAGTAGGGTAATTTTCAGGGAAAAGAGAACCAAGAGTGAGCTTAACGGTACTTTGGGTTTGGGTTTTTCCTCCTTACTTTTGAAGTGCCTTTAGCTTTTTAATGTGAGTTTCTCAAATCCCTGTGAAAAAGAAAAGTGTTATTCTGGGCTAAGCATCTTATTTCAGACTCACCTTGGTACTTTATTCTGCCATCTCAGGAACAATGCTTAATATGGTTGAGTGTTTATGGGTAAGGATGAGGGGGAAGGCCAACGAGGCAGATATCCTGCTGGGAGTCTGTTATAGACCACCCAACCAGGATGAAGAGGCCGATGAAGCGTTCTGCAAGTGGCTGGCAGAGGGGTCTCGATCGCTGGCCCTTGTTCTCGTGGGGGGCTTCAACTTCCCGGACATCTGCTGGAAATACAACACGGCAGAGAGGAAGCAGTCTAGGAGGTTCCTGGAGTGTGTGGAAGACAACTTCCTGACACAGCTGGTAAGTGAGCCTACCAGGGGAGGTGCCTCGCTTGACCTGCTGTTTACAAACAGAGAAGGACTGGTGGGAGATGTGGTGGTCGGAGGCCGTCTTGGGCTTAGCGACCATGAAATGGTAGAATTCTCAATTCTCCGTGAAGTAAGGAGGGGAGGCAGCAAAATTGCTACCATGGACTTCCGGAGGGCGGACTTTGGCCTGTTCAGGACGCTGGTTGAGAGAGTCCCTTGGGAGACCATCCTGAAGGGCAAAGGGGTCCAGGAAGGCTGGACGATCTTCAAGAAGGAAGTCTTAAAGGCGCAGGAGCAGGCTGTCCCTGTACGCCGCAAGAAGAACGGGCGGAGAAGACGACCGGCCTGGCTGAACGGGGAGCTTTTGCTGGGACTCAGGAAAAAAAGGAGAATTTACCACTTGCGGAAGAAGGGGCAGGCAACTCAAGAAGAGTACAGGGATCTCGTTAGGTCGTGCAGAGAGGAAATGAGAAAGGCAAAAGCCCAGCTAGAACGCA